TTATTGACTAGACTTTTGGTAATCCACAAGCTGGTGTTAACTAGCAGCTGCCTTTTATGAATGCTGTAAAAAGAAAAAATGTACACTGGCTTTCCTCCCAGCTACCGGTGATGAAATACAGATGCTGTGCTGAAACTGCTGCGTTATTTCACTGTTTGTCCCCAAACTCAGTGATGTGGCTATACAAAGGTTAAAGCTGAAATGGAGGTGTGCAATTCATTTGTTTTTACAGAAATAACTTTTCATCCTTAACTTATTTCTACGTAGATAACAGGCTGCAGAACATTAGCACAGCAATGGAAATATGCTATGCAGGACTCCTATTTGTATGTGTATGGTGCTAACAGAAAGGGGTTTTATGTGTATGCACAGTTTTTGGTTTTCAGAGTGGCTTTCCCTTCCCATCTGAAATCCCACATCATGCAGAGCTATGTGGGGCTGCAGTCTTAGTGCAACAGGACAGCTTGCGTCTTTCTCACGCATCATGGGAAAGCTAGTCATTGTGGTGATTAATACCAAGAATAGCATGCTAACGTGAAGAGATGAGATCTGGCTTCAAAGCTGTATCCCTTGCAGTCATTACCTGGCCTGTATTTCCTGCGTGTGCGAGTGTGTGTTTGGGTGTACATACCATGATGGACTGCAGAAGGAACTTGATTTTTACAAGGACAGATTTATCTAGACTAAAAATACAAACATAGAAGTACACGTTCCAGTTTGACTATACGCAGTCTTTTAAAAGAAAATCAAACTGACAGATAATCTGTTAAAACACACTCTTAGAGTTAAGGTATTTGTACTCTTGGGGCTGTTACTCCAGAGTACAGAGTAGTTGGTGTCTTGATATTCTAATGTGTTAGATGTATCTTAAATAAACCTGTGCAAGTAGTTGAATATATTTAGCATTTGTGTTCAAATTAGCGAACTTTTGAGCTAAGGCTGAGTACTAGAACAATTTAGACTGGACCTTTGGAGATAGTGTAATCCACCTCCCCTCAAAACACACACAGTTAGTTTAGGTTGCTGAGGGCCACGTCCAGTAGAGTTCTGAATACCTTCAGGGATGCAGATTCCAAAACTTCTCCGGGCACCTTTTCCAGCGTTTCTGAAAGGGTGGGTTTTTTTTCCCTTTTATCCCCCTCTATCTGGCTGGCTTTTCCCTTGGTTCCAGTTGGGTCTGTTGCCTCTTGTACCATCACTGTACATCTCCTTGAAGGGTCTACCCTTGCATTACGCAGTTGGTGACAGCAACAAGATCTCCCTTGAGCTTCCTGTTTTCCAGGCTGAACATTCCCAGCTCTCTCAGCCTCTCCTCATACGTCAGGTGCTCCAGCACCATGTCTCTTGGGCTGGGGAGCTCCATCACCAACACAGCCCTCCAGACGTGGACTCTCAAGTGTCACAAGCGCAAGGGTCACTTCCCTCGACCACTTTTGCTGCTCCAGCCCAGGATGCTGCTGGTCTCCTTTGCCACAAGGGCGCATTGCCGACCCGTCTTCCACTTGATGTCCACCTGCACACCAAGGTCCTTTTCTGCAGAGCTGTCTCCTAGCCAGGGAGCCCAACTTCTACTGCTGCACCAGGCCCTATATTAAGGGAGAGATTGCCGCTCATTTTAAAGAACAGGTGCCGAGGCTATCCCTAACAATTAGTAATGTGCTATGTATTACTATATTGCTGTTTTAAATGCAAACAATGCCATCAACGTGTAAGTAGATGCAACTTCCCTGATTAACAGCAGCATCTGATAAAGGAGGTCAACTTTTTAAAATACTGATCTGTTAAGCTGGAATTTTTCAAATGGCTGTTCCCCGCTGCTCTCCCATGCTTTATTCATTTGTTGCAGCTTTTTAGTGTCAGTTCTGGCCCTGACACTATCGAAGGAATATTTGGAAGTTATTGTCCTCTCTTGGGAAGATTTGGTTCCCCTTTGTTTGAAATGGGAATTTGAAATGTGGAAAGACCTCTGTCATGGCTTGATTCGAGCCAGCTGTTTTCCTTATGTAAAACTCCTAAAATTTTGCCAAATCGTGAGTTTCTCAAAGCAGCAGTTTGCAAATGCCCCAAATAAATTTGCCATGTTACTTGAGCAAAAGGTGCTAAAGAAAGCTGAAATCTAAAGATTTTCTTGAACCTCACAGATCTCTCTGGCCAAATATTGCAAATGCTAACCTACAGAGTAACTGAACATACTCTGACATAAAGCTGAATAGGTGTCCTCTGCAATTTGTGATGTTTGTGGCCTAATACGATGCTGAAATGCAGACAGAAAGTCATTCTCTTCCTGTCCTCCACCCTGTCCAGGCACTGTACGTAGATAAGGAAGAGCATCTTGAAAACGTGAAGATGAAGTGGGAAGCAGGCTAGGTGATGCACTTTAGAAACAGAGAGGAAAAGGCAGGACTCAGGGAGACTGAAAGAAGATGTCAAAAGGTCCCTGATTTTGCAGGACTCTGAAGCCAGGCTTGAAGAGGTGGCATCCATTTGTTGGGACAAAAGTGTGATCACTTTAGCTGTGGAGCCATTACCCTGACGGGTACAGGTCCTCAATGCAGAGTTAAAAGATCCTAATGTTGACCACCTTGAATGTAAGTTTTGGTATGTATTTTCAAGTAATGTAGGCTTTTAATGCTAAGCACTCAGAAACTGGGAAACCCCAGGTTGAAGATTGTCAGTGCAACTGTAATTTGATTGCTCTGTTCACATTTAGAATTGGATTCTACTGGATCTGCTGGGTCACGGAGATCGTGGGTGATGCTGTACATATCATTGGAGACGAGCTTCTCACAAGTGGCCTCGATCCATGTGTTCATTCACTGATGTCCAGCTTGTTACTCAGCAAAGTGCCGGAGGCTTGCAGCAGTGACCCAAGTCAGAAGGAGCTGATTTCTGAACATACCAGGTACAAAGAACTGTGCTTCAGGTGTCTCAAGTGGGCATCATAACTCATCAAGGGTGGTAGTGTTGTCCTTAATCACTCCGGGCTGAAACCTCTGTCTGTGGAGGTGGCTGTTAGATCTGCCCTCCCCCAAAAGACTGTTACGAGTTTATGGAGCTTTCCAGGGATTTCACAGGAGAAATCCCGGCGGAGATGAACAGTAGTAACATAGTAAATGAGATATCTGTCCATGAACTGAATGACGAATATTAAATTTTACATTGTACAACTTTTATTCAGCACATACAGGCTATAGGCAGACTTGGTAGAAGCACTAAGACATAGGCCAGTGTTTAGCTGCATGATCTTCATGTGTGTAGGCAACATCATGGTGCAATCTGAGGCCACACTTGACAGCTCCTTACTCTTCTTTTAACCTGTCGTGTTGTATTAAAAAAAATTACTGATATTTTTACAGATGCTGCAGAATTAGTATACACATGAACTTCTTACAGCATTAGTATTTTCATGTTGTGAATTACCACATATTTGCTTCTCCGTTTCTTCCTATTTTTATTTTATCTAACACCTTAAAGTAGTTGTGGGTGAGAAAGTCAAATTGCAAGTTACACTTTTGAGGTAAGGGGAAGGAAAGGTAGACCTATTCCTGCAAAATTACAAGTTTATTACGCAGGAGCTCTTATTCAGTGTGGTTTTCTGTTTGTGTTTCCTTTGTCAAGCACAAAAAATAAAATGTAAATATCATTGAGCCAGTTGTCTGTCTGCTCTCTGTGGAAGGCTGATGAACTTTAGTTTTTCTCTGGTTCAAGGAATGGTAAGCACAAAGGCAACATAGTCCTGCACACATATGGTTTAGTTTACACAAATGGCACCTTGCTGCTGTAGATGTTTGTAAACGCTGTGAAGACACTTTAATTCCTGGAAATACAAAAATGAATCCTCCAGCGACAGAGATGTGGAGATGTCCTGCTTGGTGCTGCTTCTTAACTTGGTTCTCTTTTTTATTAATTTCAATGACGTCACGGGACGTACAGCTTTTGTGATGGGAAATTTTCAGCTTCCTGCTTGCCGTAACACTTGGTGCAGGGTTCTTGCTGAAGCTTTCAGATTTCACTTTCTGCAAAGACTTTAGGTCTAGAGTTTCAAGTAAACAACATACTTAAAGGAGATATATGTTTTGTTACCACGTAACTGGTCTGTACAGATTACTCATTCTGTGGCTTTTTAATGAAATTTGTAGTTAAGTATGTCTGAGGCAAACACACAGAAAACAGATCCTGATCTATAACAACAGTGTTACTTTATTCCTTCAGTAAGATGTTTCCATCATACAAAAAAGAAGGGTTGGATGGATGGTTTTACTTACAAAATGCTGTGATCACTGTGTTGTTTTGTTTGATGCCTGGTACACTATGGTCAGTGATAGCATCTGAAGACCCTAAACTTGCCTTTCCTTTTTTTTTTTGGTCTATCTTGATACTTTCCACACCATTTCTCGAAACTTTTCTTTCCCAATGGTATTGGTAAATGCCATTTCTGTTTCTGAGAGGCTTCCTACTCTTCTCCCAGGAAAAGCAAGCTTAGAATGACAGAGGACCTGTGACGTTTGGGCCAGATGATGTAATGAAGGGTCAAGATCTAGAGGAGATTTCTGTAGTCAGCAGCAGTGGGAAGCATGCAGTTGTTAACATGTCTACGCATACCGATGGCTGAAGGCTTCCTATCCTTTGCTCAAGAGTTTGGATTTTTCTCCAAGTGAAAGACTGGCATTTTTTTGGGGGTTGGGAATTTTTTTATCATTCTTTTGGATTTGTCTTCAGGATTTGTTGTCATCTCTCTTGCACTTTTTTAGTTTCTAAGCTTTGTAGTTTCTACGAGAGTGTTCTAGCACTAGAGTTTTGTATCTGAGATCCATCACTGTATAAAATACTGTGAAAAAATTTAAAATCTGGTATTTTGGGTTATCTTTGATATCGTTATGTTATCTATGATGTAGTTATAACTATGATGTAGTTGTTAGTTATGAACTTTCAACCATTGAAAACCAATATTTTATTTATTTTAAACTTCTTTCCTCCTGTTCCTCTGTTTTACAGGCAGGATGAAAGACCGGCTAAACGAGCTGCGTGAATTTGCCAGGTTACACAACCAACAGTTTTCTGATAGTCAGGATGATGAAAATTCACCCCATGATGTTCTCCTTTATGAGACTGATTATGCCTTGGAAATTCTTCATAAAGACATACAGAACATCCGGACAGAAAATGACCACCTAAAAGAGGATGTCAAGCGGCTCAGAAAGCAAAACAGCCGCTTCCTTACTTCCATGCGCCGTCTTAGTAGCATCAAACGAGATACTAATTGTATTGCCAGAGACATCAAGGCCCGTGGGGAAAGCATCCACAGGAAACTCCAGATAATGAGAGATTTCAGTGAAGATGCAATAACAAAATACGGGGCTATGTCTGTCATCGCCAGGGTAGCGAAGAATCACTACGTTGACCTGATGCACGCATTCCAGGAAGCTATGTTTGAATACAATGCAACGGAGATGAACCAACGGGAGAACTGCAAGATTCGAATTCAGCGGCAGCTAGAGATCATGGGCAAAGATGTTTCTAGCAACCAGATTGAGGAGATGATTGAACAAGGCAAGTGGGATGTCTTCTCTGAGAATCTCTTGTCGGATGTTAAGGGGGCTCGCTCGGCCTTGAATGAGATAGAGACACGCCATAAGGAGCTGGTGAAGTTAGAAGGTCGCATTAAGGAAGTTCACGAGCTCTTTCTGCAGGTGGCCCTGCTAGTGGAGGAACAGGCAGACACCTTTGATGTCATTGAGATAAATATGCAAAATGTTGAGGACTATGTAGGAGAAGCTAAAGAGCAAGTGAAAAAAGCTTTGGAATACAGAAGAAAGCACCCCCTCAGAACAATCCTCTGCTGCTGCTTATCCTGTTGCCGAAGGTGACTGCCTCCCCAAAGCTATCACGGACTGAGTCGAATGTCTTCAAAATCAGGCATTCTTTCCAGTGACTTTTTTGTAATGACAACCCATAGAAATGGGGGGGGAGGTGTATTTTGCAGTTGTTTTTGTTCATTGCCTTTTTCCTAAATGTGCTGAAGGCTGTTCTATTTGAGAGTTCCTAGAAATGTTGCTAAAACTATTTTTAATCTATTTTTAATTGAAATGTGCTCTGTTGCTGTAACTAGAGGTGAAAGAAGATCTCTGCAGTGATACTTGTTTCAGATAGGCAAGAAAGAGGGATGAATGATGGGCTGATAACTCAGCCTAGGGAAGATGAGAAATTGCAACAAGTAACTAGTCTTATTTGTCAAAGTGAGTCTGCAGGCGGTGCAGCCTTACCGCCTGGGGTGACACAATACACCACAGAATCAGGAGGTTTCAATTTTAACTAGTTTGGAGCCTGCTTGATGCAAATACTTGAACAGATTTTTGCTCTGTTCATTTGAGAAAATAGTGAGCCTCTTAGCAGGAGCAGGACACAGAACTAGTTTCTGTTTCAACTTGATTTCCACCTGTCGTGAATCTTAACAGAAGTAACTGCACCTTAAATGAGAATATGCATGTTTTGCTCCATTTGTGTGCAAGTGATTGCTTTTTTCTATTTTGAGTACCTGCAACTTTGTCAAGGTGGCTAGAAGCACTGCAACACTGCGGCATCTCACCAACTTTTACCTTAAGCCACTGTCTGTACTCTCCATTTCAAAACTGCCATGCTTTTACGCTTCTAATACATTTTTCTGCCAACTAACACTTCAGCCAGAAGAGAGGGATGCAGTGGCCTTCTGCAGAAGCACCCCTAAGAAGACAACAGTTGCAGGGTCGAGAAAGCATTTTAGGGTCTCCTGTGCTGGCACAAACACACAAGCAGTTTTAGTGGAAGGATTATCCTGTCAATAGACTTTTTTTTTTATAAGCTTTGATTGAATATGGATTTTTTAATATCTATTTTAAATAACATGAAGGATTAAATTTATTAACATGCAATTTTACCGGTGTACAAAAACTACAACTTTTCTCCTGTTATGGAGAAATCTCCACCTGGGAAAGAAAACAGACGTATTTCTTCAGTACACCTGAAGCAGAAAGAAAACAACATTTTACTGTCATATAGGTGCTCTTTTTCAAGCTTAAAAGTAATCTCTCCTTTTGTGTAAGGGGAGTCTGCCCGCAGTAGGTTTGGAATAAGAGGAGGGAACAGAAAATTTGCAGCCCTGGAAACCACTGAGCATTGTCAGTGAAACATGTATTCATAAGGTCTGGTGAGTGATTATAGCTCCTGCTTCTGGAGGTTTTCCAACTAGAATATTTCTAGTTGGCTTCCTGATACACTGTGATCTATTGCTATCCTTTGAATTAATGCCGGACATTATTTCAGAAGTTAGTGACTTTTTTTTTTTAACCTCTGATCCTATTTGTACCTATTTTAATAAATATATTTAAGCATTTCAAATATTTTGTATTTGGGAGTTTTCCTCCTGAGATGCGCATTGCCATCTTCCTGTACCAATCACAATGAAACTTCTCCCTTCTGATCTTTTGCACACTAATTTTATATGTGAGAAAACACCCTAACATTTCTTACTATTTATATTAGTATAACAGAGCAGCAAAATAAATTCAGCTTCCAAGCTTTCATATCCTAGTGGGAAATGCTTCTTACCCAGACAGGCTTTTTTGTACAAAAAGAAGCTAAATGGATAACTCTTCTCAGAAGAAGCACCTGTCTGTGATAACATGGAAGAGTGAGGAACACTGCTCTTCTAAACTAGAAGATATTTTGATATTCAGCGATGTCCTGACGATATCAGTATTGTGCTTGCCTGAGGACCTCTCCAACAACCCACTGTTCAAACTTGAAGTGGGAGAAAGCTACTGGGAAGGGAAAGGCACCATTAGCAGTAGCTTTGGTGCTACTCAAGAAGACAAAGTCCTTTACTCCACAGGTACTGCCATTCAAGTCAATGGAACTGTGCATTTGTAGAGAAATACTCTAAACCTCTGAGAGCCAGCGTGTGGGTATAAATCAATGAAGAGTAAAATATGTGTTTCGTTTTGTCTGCATATTCTTAGCACTCAGCAATGCTTTTGATAAGAACATGTACCTGGGGTTTTTTTGTTGGTTTCTTTTTTGCACATGTCTACGGATGGAATAAAAGATTTAATAAGAAAAACTGAAAGTGCAGAGTGTTGTACATTGAATCTGCAGCTCTGAATAGTTTCTTGCATTGTCAAAGTTTAGTTTAAAAGCTGCTGGACTAAACTCTGAATTGATGAAAGGAGATTAAACAATGCCTAAAAAAAAGTCCTCCTAATATTTGTTGCCACAGTAAATCAAATGTGTTGTATATTGAGATAGACTTACCATTCTTTTTCCTATAAAAAACATAAAAAATGAATTTCATACATACAGAAGATCATTCTCTACTGCAAGAAAAAATCAAATATATTCTGGCAGTTCTGAGAGATCTTGATGATTTCATTAGTAGATATGGAAAGCTTACATTCAAATCTTGACTCTGATTTGAGGGACCAGGAAAGAAAGCAAAAGCATGAAGAAAAGGTAATTGTAGACCTTCTCTCCTGACTTAAGGCTGTTGCTGCAAGGAAGAAACTGAGGCTTATTGAAAAACCACCTTGAGACCCTTTAAAAGTATTTTTAAGTCGCACTGTGAATTAGAGACACTTAAAAAATTACTTCCAGTAACTGAAGAAATCATTCTCTTCCTTGCAAACATGTGTTCATTGCTTAATACTATGGGGGTTTTTCTTTCCTTCAGTTGTGTAAGAACTCAAATGTTGCCAGCCCATGAACTTGCCTAGTCACAGTTAAACAGACTTTTGAAAAAAACCTGATCACGCTGCAGTTGCAAAGACTCATGCCGCACAGGATGAGTGGAAGAAGATGATAAAAGCAGCTTGATAATATGTTAGCCCACTAATAACAGAAGCTGCAGAATGGACATCTTCATGGTCGCTAAGGAAAGCTGCCTTTTCATTCTGAACGTCAGCACGACTCCTCTGGAGATGTGTGTAGCATATTCTATGGGGGTGGTTTGTTTTTTTCTTATCCCTCATACGGCAAACCCTATAGCTGGGTTTGAGGGGGGAGTAGTTAAAATGTGAGAGGGGCTGCTTTAGCTTTTAGGGTTGCTGTTACTTTGGTTTGTTTTTCTACTGAAAGCAGCAGCAAATTCACCCCCACTGCAAAGAATCTCAGCCCTTTCTGAGGAGGAGAAAGGAGAACTGGCAACCAGGCACTCCTTGCTCCTTCTAAAAACATGAGAGAGCATTGCATAAATATAAAAGAGCAAAAAAATTCCCTATTACAAAATATAATGTTTGGTATATAACGGTGAACTTCCTGGATATATATAGGTATGGCTCTCCATTTCACCTTACGGGATAATATTTTTTTTTTTTTTTTGAAACATGGGTTTGATTTAGAGAAATGGCAGTGGAGCAATTGCTGCCTCAAAGCAAGGGACCCAGACTATGGACACAGTTGCAAACCTGAGCAGGCATCTCTCTGGCACATGTCTTGGGAGAAACTTCTGGAAGTAAAGGTATAGCTCTTAGCTTAAGACCCAGATATCTTTTTTTTCTGGAGGCTGAACTGAGTAGCTAAGCTGACACGCCGCCTTTCTCATCTAACCTACCTTAAGAGAAC